TATTAAGGCAAGGAAAAAATAAAAGGCATATCAACTGCGAAGGAAGAAGTACAATTGTCATTATTTGCAGATGAAATGATTGTGTAGGCAGAAAACACCAAGGAATCCACAAAAGAGCCTCTAGAACCTATAAATGAATTTAGAAGGATATAATGCCAGGGTACAAAACTCAGGGAAAAAAATCAAAATTTTCTATACTCTGAGAATAAACTATTAGAAAATGAAATTTCAGAAACAACTCCATTCACCAATAGCATCAAAAATAATAAAAGATTTAGGAATAAATTTAAGGGTGATGTGAAAGACATTTACACAAGAAACTATAAGGCATTGCAAAAATAAATTATAGAGAAATATTCAATTTATCAATTTCGATTACCAACAGGCAAAATAAATAAAATTGAAATCTTGCCCCGTAAAGTAAAAAGACTGCTTGAAATCAAATTAGAACCTTGAAGGTCAGTTTTAATGGAGAAATCGTACCACCTGTAGTCTCAGTATATTGCCATATAAACAATTTTCAGTTCAAATTTCAGTACTAAATTTTGAGATTATCTTGCAGCTTGCACGTTGAGAGGGCCCCCAATGATTTCACGTCACTTACTTAAGGCAAAGAAACGTTTGTCTGAAAAATGAAATGATTAAAACTAATCAATAAAATGTAGTTACTGAGCCACCGTCAATAGCAAGAAATCTTTTGAGTTAACTAACTCCTGAATAAGGATCCTTGCCAGTTGAAACATTATAATTCCAAGTTTGGGGCAGAATTTTTATATTCTTTGGAGATAGAGAATGGAGTCACTAAGAAATTTTTTTCCCGTCATTGTCAAGTGGAAAATTACAGGGCTGAAGGACCCTGCAGAAGCCATGCTGACCAGTGGAGCCATTCAGCAGCCCTGGTCCAAGCCCAGCCCAGGCCAAGTGAGATCCTTGCAGGCACAGTAATCACAAGCAGGTCACGTGCTGGGAGGGACAGTGAGAGCAGAACCACCTCAGCTGGAGACCTAAACACGGAGTTAACAGGTGTGCAGCTCCAAGGCAATTTCTTTAAAAGCAAGAAGAGCTAAGGACAGAGTCACAGAGAACAAAGTGAACAAAAACCGGAAAGTAATTGATAACAGCAGAAATCTGGCAACAGACAGCACCAACCTATATCATATCTTTCCCTAAAATACATAAAAATAAAAGCAGCTATTAGAGAATAGTAAAATAACTTACACTATTATTTGATATGCTTTAATTTTTAGAGAAAAAAGCATATTGTATTGTTAACTTAAACTTTGACATGGACTAATCCTTAACAGATGGCCTTGTAGCAATTTACATTGAAAGATTTAGCATAAGTAAAGTGCTTGGAACAGTGCCTGGCACATTGTAGCACCATACAAGTATTAGTTATCTTTATCATTATACTATTATTTTAGAATTATTTTTCTTTGTTGTCTGCAAGCTGGCCTCTGACAAAAATTCCTGAAGTGGGATAATACACAATATGCTCATTAAAAAAAAATTGTCCTTTGGATGATTATAACAGCAAGTGACTCAAAACTCTGTTTCAAATCTCCCTGACAAAAGTTTTAAGCATCTTAAAGCTGGCTGAAAACACACCGTGGACAAGCAGATTCTCCCTGCACGTGTGCTCCCTTTTGTTTCCTGCAGTCGATGTAGCCAGGATTCTGTGAAAGAAACACATCCTTTCCTCCCGTGACTAACAGAAACAAAGATGCCCATTCCTGGAGACACAGCCCTCTCTGCGGAAGCGGACGGTGGCAAGGAGAGGCAGGGTGACAGCAAGACTCCATAGGGCCGTCCTTGTCTCCTCACTCCCTTCCCAGCAGTTCCCAGTCTGGCTTCGCTTCTTTTATACTCAGCAGGGAACTGTCTTGGCCACAAAATGTTCAGAATGTACCAAGCCTAAAAAGGCATATTACAAGAGAACATATAGAGAGCTTCCATTATAAGGAAAACATGGAAACACATATATATGTTCACACAGAAACGTGTGGATGGGATTTGCCACCGAATTTTTAACAGTCACTGAGTGGTGAAATTATGAGTGATTTTTTTTTCTTTCTGTTTCCTTTGAAGTGTCTGCTGTTTTGACACATTCAGCACAGAACATGTATTAGTTTAGAAGGAAAGAAAACAAAATTGCAAAAAGTTATTTGGAAAAAATACTTTAATTTTTTTAAAGACTGGAGAGTTTCTGTATGAGCAGTTACCAGTCTTGTCTTAAATACTTTATTATTTGGCATCAAAATTTTTTATCAGGATTAATGTTGTAATCATAATGCAAAGCACAAAGCCCAGCTATGTTGAAAGGGCAAGTATAAACACATGCTCAGTCTAGATCAGAACGGATATGAGAAAAGGCTTATTTTTAAGTGCTTGAAACACCTTTCTTTTGAGAAATGGCATTAAACATCTTGCTCATTTGGGGGTCACTGGGGTCTTCTGATAAGAGCTGAGCTTTGACAAACACCAACACCTGCGCAGCCACACCCATCAAGGTGTAGAAAATTCCATCCCCCTGGAAAGTTCCCTCACACCTCTTCCCAGTCAACGTCCATCCCCAGAAGCAACCACTGCTCTGGTTTCTCACTCCGTAGATTAGTTTTACCTCTTTTAGAACTTCCTAGCAATAGACATTTTTGAATGATGAAATTGGCTCTTTGCAAACACTAGAGTTAAGAGGTCTTTAAGATTATCCTTACAAATGATTGAAGAAAACCTTCTAGTTTTGGAAGTCGACCTGGTTGCCAGGAGATTAGTCTCATAATTCAGCCATCCTGCTCTATGTTTATAGAGCAGGAAAATAAGACATAGGTATCCTGCATCTAATAATCTTAGGAAAAACAAATTGTCACTGGGAAGTCTGGATGTGATTTGCTTCTGCTTCTTTTTAAGGAAACAATTCAAAAACAGCCGTTTTATACAAGCCTTACTGGAATTTGGGGGCTTTTTTCCTTATAGAAAATAATAATAATTAAGATATATGAGGACTGCTTGCAGGAGTTGAGGAAATTTCTTACATCTGAAAACCCTCTTTGAAGGTCTGCTTACTCTTTCAGCTGTGTGTTTATTCAGAACATATTTACTGAACAATTCATTAGTGCACACCAGGGCCTGAGCTGAGAATTAAGGTAAATGTACAGAAAAAGAAAAAAAAAAACCTCAAATATTTTTTATTCTACTTGTTTGGATGTCCATGTCCTAATCCCCAGAACCTAGGATTATATAACTTAAATGGCAAGAGAGCCTTGGCAAATACGATGAAGTCAGGGATTTTTAATTGGGGAAGTTATCCTGAATTATCCAGTGGGTCAAATGTAATCCCAAGGTCCTTATGAGAGGGAGGCTGGAAGATCCAAGTAGGTAGAGAAGATAAGCATGAGAGGGGAGTGATGGGAGGAAGGTGTCAAGAGCCAAACATACAGGCAGCATCTAGAAGCTGAAAAAGGCAGAGAAATGGATTCTCTCCTAGAGCCTCCAGAAGGAAGCAGTCTGGCCAACACCTTGATTTTAGCTCAGTGAAACTGATAGTGGACTTTTGAATGCCAGAATTACAAGATAGTAAATGTGTATTGTTTTGAGATACTAACTTTGTGGTAATTTGTTATAGCAGCAATAGGAAACTAATATGAATACAATCTACCTCCTAGGTTTATGAGAAAGATTAAGTAACATAAAACATGCCAAGTGCCAAAAACAACATGAGAGGAATCAGAAGCTGAAGGATGGGGAAGGTGGTGATGGAGGGGAGATCACAATGTCAGTAAGATCCCCCAGGGTAGGCTTCCCTGAGCATGTGACATTAGAACAATGTGCAAGTCTGCCTGTTTGCCACACATTTGCTAATACTTACATTAAATTTTTTCATTTACCAATGAAGAATGTTTAAAGGAATATAATAGAGTTTTTAATTTGTAATTTTTATTTTTAATGTCTTTTCGTATGTTTAGTAACCATTTCCATTTCCTCTTCCATAATCTGTCCATTCAAATCATTTGCCCATGTTTTTATTACTTAAGAGGTTTTCCTGGCTTATTGTATGGTAGAAAAACAGTAAGTTGTAGAATAATATGTGTAATATGAGCTCAATATTGTACAGAATCATTATGAATCTCATATGTATATGTGTGCATATAATATACATTGTGTGTGAATATATACTTACGCACATATATAGATATAGGTATATATGTACAGCTATCCCCATTTGTTATCTTAAAAATGCATGCCAAATTGTTATAAGTAGATTTCTCTGGGAGACAAGCTGACAAAAGGCTAATGGGTGATGCCACTTCTCATTTCATACACTTCAAGACAGAAGGTAGGAAAAGTGATGATGGTAGTTCAAGAATCCAATTGGTAATGACTTCCAGGAATTTTGTTCTTGTTCAGGGAGAAAAGAAAAACACTTAGAACACATGGCTAGCAAGGTGAAAGCATATGTTAATAATGCTAAGTTTGAAACACGAAATAACAAGAACACGTCAAATCTTTTAGTGTTCACCATGACACCAAATTTGAACATTGATTATTCATTCCTCCCTATTGCTGATCTTCTCACTGTTTCCCTACAGGTTGAAGCTGCTTCTAGAAACAATTTTTCTCAATTTCAAATCCAAACCTCAAGTAAACTCTAGGTGACACTCAGCCAAAAGAGTTTGTCTGCCCTCTTTCCCTTTGTCCCTCTGTGTGCTTATCATTATGAGGACCAGCATGGCCTCTTCGGACCCTGTTTTGTTCCATTTCTTACCTGCATTATGCACAAAAGAAGGAAACTCTAAGAACTTACTCAGCAAATAATAATGCTTTTTATTTAGAATATGCAGGGGACAAATGGCTGTGTATCAGCTTATACTAACCATTTTGCTCTGTTTCACAGTGGTGACATAGTAATAACTCAATATTCGATAAGTATCAGCATATGTGGTGGCTGATACAAGTGTTAGAGAGAATAAAGAATAGCACATACATTTGCGCAGTGAAACTCAGGGAACTCTCCATTAATGGAGGTTGGATGTTCACTGGATATTGCCAGAATGGGGAGATATGAGATGAGAGGTCAGAGAAGGCATTTCTGGGAAGGGGATGAAGTGGGAAGGAGGTGAACAATGTCTCAGAGGAGGGGGAGTTGCAGATGATTGCACATCAGCAGCCAGACGGTCTGCCCTTCCTCACACAGGAATAAAGCAGAGCTGGTATGAGGGTGGCATATGGCCCAACCCACTGGCAACTGGAGTGATGTCGATGTCCCTTGGGTCAACCACAGGTTTCAGGGTAAATTTCTGTAAAATGGTGGTCAGGAATAAAAACAGCTCCATGCGGGCCAGACCCTCTCCCACACAAATCCGTTTTCCTGAAAATAACAAACATAGAGAATTTGTTCCTTGAACATTATGTTTTGAACTGTCACAAAACTTATGTAGTAACTATCCAATGAATGACCAAAGAGATAGAGGACTAGGAGGAGGGTTAGAGAGACAGATGAATAGAAGGATGGACACACTTGCTATTCGCCTAGTATCTTAATGGAAGACCTTCGTTCAACAAATATTTATTGAGTATCAGCTATATGCCAAGCACTTCCATAGGTATTCCTACATTATAACTGCTCTTTTCACATTTCCAGTTTCCATCAGTCTTTGTAGAAACACACCTACTTTGCTTGTCCAAATGAGTTGAAGACAGAAGGACTGAGAGGAGGGAACTCACATATCTGTTTCCCTTTCTACCTCTGGCAAAAAATACAGCCAAAGATTTGTTTTCGTTTATGTGCTTTCAAAAGCACCTGTCTAAATGTGTCACCTTCTCACTTTAAAATACTAAATGTCAGGGTCAGCCCGGTGGCGTAATGGTTAAGTTTGTGCACTGCACTTCGGCGGCCCGTGATTCGCAGGTTCGGATCCTGGGCGCGGACCTACACAGTACTCATCGAGCCATGGTGCGGTGGCATCCCACATACAAAACAGAGGAAGATGGGCATAGATGTTAGCTCATGTACAATCTTCCTCAAGCAAAAAGAGGAAGATTAGCAACAGATATTAGCTCAGGGACAATCTTGCTCACCAAAATATATATATTTTATATATATATATATATTAAATGTCTTCCCCATCTGTCCCATGAGATGAGATCTAAATAGGTTGAACTTCACATTTTGTGAAATTCACATTTTGTTCCCAGTCTGATGTTCCATATCATTCTTTCCATTCTTCACACCCTCTACTCTTGGCTCTAGCCGTACCCACGCTTCATCATCCTCTAATACACCATGAAGTTTCTAGCTTTATCTCATGCTGTTCCAGTTGGTTAAGGTGCACATCCCTTATACTTCCTTCAAAACCTATGTCCCACGTCATTTCCTCTTTACAATCCTTGTGATCCCCTCAGGCAGTAAAATCTTGCCCTCTCTGAGTTTCCTCAGCATCATATTCACACTTCGTTTGAAGCACAGATCACTTTGAATCATAATTCTCTGTTTATTTATTTTTCTACCATACTAAAATGTGTGTTCCTTGAAGAGAAGTCTCGGTCCTTGACATCTTGGTATGTACAGTGCAAGACCCAAAGCAGGCACCAAGGTCGTCGAATAAATGAGGCCGACTCTGTGGCCAGAGACTCAACACACACAATGTAGCTGTGGAGACTCGATATCCAAGATGTGTGATGTGAGTGGAGGAAGATCAAGGTGCTCTGGAACCACTGCAGGGTATCCTGCCACGTTCCCAAGATCTCCCTGACGCAACAGTTAGTTGGCAGGTTCTGACCTCCTCGAGCTTCAGGAAATGTCCTGCTCCTGTGGTCCACTCTGTAAAAGTGCCCTGCCTTCTCTTCTCTCCTTGCTCCCCGTCCCTTGTGAGGCAGTTCAAATTTCCATTCTGCTGCTAGAATGTTGCTTATTCCATTTTATGCTACATAAAATGTGGGGTATGAATGAGCAGGAAGCAGGCAGCTTCCCCTTCTGGTCTCCTGAGCAGCCTGCATTTTCCTCTCCCACAGCACAAGTCTTACTGGATGAAAATGATACGTTTACTAATCTGCTTCCCTAACTAGGGAAGAGCCAGTGCTCCCTAGCTCAGGTTCTCATTCTGTGCTTATGGATACTTGTAACCTCACAGCTCAGTCCGGGGAGTGAGGGATATCACATAGAAAACACTCAAAGTGGTGGAGTTATACACCTTTCTCATAGGAGGTGAGGAAAGTCTAAGAGTTTCACCTTCTAAGAGGAGTTCTTGGCGATATACTATTTATCATTATATTAGTGATTAGCCTAGTGAAATATATATACAGGCAGAAGTCAATCAATCTATTCTATCACTTTTTCACTTTCAAAGAACTGAGTCAGCTCCCCAAAGTTCCAATAATAGGGATGTATGGTTGGGGGGAAGTGCATGGGCATTGCAAGTGGTGCTCATGAACATGGACAAGGAGCAATTCCACCAGCCCCAGTGTGGACACCATGGAAGTTCCAACTGATCCCATGAAGGTAACCTGTCCCCTGAAGTACTGAAGGAAATACATCTTTATTACCTGCTGAGAAAGCCATGAAGTGGTCACTCTTTTTAAAGTTGCCTTTCTCATCCAGGAAGTGGCCAGGGTCAAACACCTCTGGTTTGGGGAATTCTTTGTCATCGTGTAGCACAGAATTCAGTGATGTTAATATGGTTGTGCCCTGGAAAGAACAGATGAAGATAAACTGAGTTATGAAGAAGTCGTGGAGCTGGAAGAAATGCTGCAAATCATTTAGTCCAATCTTATGATCTATAGATGAGGAATCCTAGGTCCAAAGAAGGACAGTGGCATTTTGAGCCAGACAGAACAGTTAATAAACAAGGATAAGTTTAAGATCAGTGGCAGTGATGTTGCTCAAGTGGACTCCAATGACATTTGAAATACTGAGTGCTTGGTTACTTGGGTGTGAGACCTCTGAATTCCCTCTACTTACCACAACGTTTGGACACTGGTGTCTGTCCCACCATCTGCTCTATTTCATCCCTTCGGTTTTCATACATCTCATAGGTGGATTATGGTTTAAAATGGAAGCCTCTGCTGACTCTTGAAGAGTCAGGAGCATTTGTAATATGTTCATAATGTGCTTTTTAAATAGAGGTCTGATCTGATTAAAATTGACTTCTGGGGCCAGCCCCATGCCCTAGTGGTTGCGTTCAGTGCTCTCCACTTAGGCAGCCCGGGTACAGTTCCCAGGCATGGACATACACCACTCACCAGCAGCCATGTGTGGCAGCAACCCACATACAAAATAGAGGAAGATTGGGGGCTGGCCTGGTGGTGTAGCGGTTAAGTTCACATGCTCTGCTGTGGCAGCCCAGGTTTTGCAGGTACAGATCCCGGGCACAGACCGACACACTGCTTGTCAAGCCATACTGTGGTGGCGTCCCATATAAAGTAGAGGAACATGGGCGCAGATGTTAGCCCAGGGCCAATCTTGCTCAGCAAAAAGAGGAGGATTGGCAATGGATGTTAGCTCAGGGCTAATCTTCCTCACAAAAAAAAAAAAAGTGGAAGATTGGCACAGATGTTAGCTCAGGGCGAAACTTCCTCAGGAAAAAAAAATGACTTCTGGCAAATCCATACAGACAGAAATAGATTAGTGGTTGTCAGAGGCTGGAGGGAGGGAGAAATGTGAAATGATTGTTTGATGGGTAGGGGACTTCTTTTGCGGGGTGATGAAAATGTTCTGGAAATAGTAGCTATGGTTGCACAACATTGTGAATGTACTAAATTTCACTGAATTGTACACTTTAAAACAGCTAAAATTGTAATTTTTATGTGATGTGTATTTTACCACAATAAAAAAGAAAATTTACCCAAGAGAAAAAAATGACTCCTTAGATAATATCAAAAAGTACATTAATAACTACTGAGCATTTATCTTTGGGATGAAATTTGTTTCTCCTAATTTAAAAATATGGGTAACTCTTCATTATGGATGAATCCTAGCTTTAAAAGAAACACACAGAGAGGGGCCAGCCCTGTGGCCGAGTGGTTGAAGTTCCACGCGCTCTGCTTTGGCGGCCTGGGTTTGTGGGTTCGGATCCCAGGCGCGGACCTGCTCCATTCATAGGCCATGCTGTGGAGGCATCCCACATACAAAAAAAGGAAGAGGATTGGCACAGATGTTGGCTCAAGGTGAGCCTTCCTCACAAAAAAAAAAAAAAAAAACGCACAGAGTGATGATACAATTAGAAAAATTATCATTTCTGAACAACTCAGGTAAAGATCATCAATTAATTCTAAAACTGTTAGATGAATGATTTAGGAAACAGGATATTCACAAGGTCTTAAAGTAGCATGCTATGCATTTTTTTATTAATTACCTATGAAAAACAGAACCTCAGCAATGGAGAGTTATGGCAGACACCTCCATTATAAGTGATTACCTTGGTATCATCAATAATGAAATAAACTGACATTACATGTCTCCAGCCAAAATGTGATTACAGTGGGACATACACAACATCCTCTATGTGATTTTCTTGTCAAAAACACAGACTTGGAATGTAATCTCAAGAAAACAATCACACAAAACCAAATTGAGGAATGTTTTACACGACAACTGTCCTGGACTCTTTAAAACGGTCGATGTATTGAAATGAAACAAATAAAGGAAAAGGAACTGTTCTTGAAAACAGGGCACTAAAGGGACAGATAACCAAATTATATACTTGTTCCTTGATTGGATACCAGATGTCCCCTCAAAAAAAACTATAAAAGATTTTTTAGGATAATTGAGAAAATGTTATTACAGGCTATCTATTAAAGCTATCGTGAAGATGATAATTCCTTGAGTGTGAGAGCTATTATTAGTATGTAAAGCAAACTCCTTGTTATTAGAAGATACATGTTGAAGTATTTAGGGGTTAAGTGTGGTAGGTAGATGATAGATTCATAGATAGATAGATAGATAGATAGATAGATAGATAGATAGATAGATAGATGCAGGTAGATAGATGCAGGTAGATATGTAGTTAAAATACAGATATGTATACATTTTCATATACTGTGTATATATATATATATATATATATATATATAGCCATTGTGTGTGTGTTTTACATGTTATTTAGATTTTAAAAATTTTTTAATTCAAAATTGGGAGAAAGTTCCACCACCTAAGTTTATCATACTTAAGGTCTATAATTTTGTCTTTAAAATTGTTGCCTTGTATATTTTAAAACAAGTAATACCTGAAGATGTTACTTTAAGATTTAGGAAGTAGGTATATTTTCAGTAAATGGTGCTGGTACAAGTAGATATCCATAAAGAAAAGAAATGAAGTATGATCATTACTTCACATCATGGGTGAAAATGAACTTTAAATGCATCATAGACCTAAATATAAATGGTAAGGGTAATTATTTGGAAACTTGTGCTTGAACATAATTTTTTAGATAGGACACAAAAGCACAAATCATAAGAGAAATAATTGATTATTTGGACTTCATCAAAGTTTAAAACTTCCGCTCTTCGAAAAACATTCTTTATGCTCAACATCACTAGTCATCAGGAAAATGCAAACCAAAACCACAATGAGTTATCACCTTACATCCACTAGAATGGCTATTATCAAAAAAACAATTGTCTATGAGTATGTGGAGAAAAGTGACCCCTTGTGCACTGTTACTGGGAATATAAATTGATACAGCCACTACCTGAAACTCTATGCAGTCCCTCAAAAAATTAAATGTAAAATTACCATATGATTCTGCAAGCCCACTTCTGGGTAGATATCCAAAGGAAATGAAATCACAATCTCAAAGATGTCTGCACCCCATGTTTATTGCAGCATTATTCACAATGTCTAAAATAGAGAAACAACTGAAGTGTCCATCGTTGGATGAATGGATAAGGAAAATGTGACATATACCTATATACGGGATATTATTCAGCCACAAGAAGAAAATCCTGCCATTTGCAACAACATAGAGGGGCATTGAGTACAGCATGTTAAGTGAAATAAGTCAAACAGTGAAAGACAAATACTGTATGATCTCACATATATGTGGAATCTAAAAAAATCAAGCATATGGAAATAAAGAGGATAACGGTGGTTGCCAGTAACTGAGGGTTTGGGAAAATGGGCAGATGTTGGTCCAGCGATACAAACGTCTGGTTCTAAGATGAATACATTTTGAGGATTGAATGTACAACATGGTCACCATAGTGAAGAATACTACATTATACACTGGCATCTTGCTAAGAGAGTACATCCTAAATGTTCTTACCCTTGGGAAAAAAATAGTGATTATGTCAGGTGATGGAGGTGTTAATTCACCTTATTGTGGTAATCATTTTGCAATATATACATATATCAAATCATAATGCTGCATACCTACTAAATGTTAAATGTCAATTATATCTCGATAGATCTGGCAAAAGATAAAATGAAAGGTGTAATTTGTAGGTTTGAAGGAGGCATACAAAAACTGAGAGCACATACTGCCTTATTCTGTTTGTATGCATTCACGAGAGTGCACAATAAGCTGTCACTGTTTTGTGATGTAATTGTTAGTGATTTAAATTCCCTGAACTTCAGTTTCCTTTTTTCTGAACATAATGTGAGATAATAAACATAACTTCAGATGGATGTATTAAGGCAAAAATGAAAGAAAAAGACATTCTTTAGAAACTAAAAAGAGAAAAAAAGAAAAAACCACAGACTGGGAGTAAATATTTGCTACACTTATATATGATAAAGGACTTGTGTAGAAAAATATATTAAAAATTGTAATAATAAATAATAAGTCAAACAACCCAGTAAAAAGTGGGACTATAATTTGAGCACTTTACCCAAAATCATATACGAATGGAGAATCAACGCATGAAAAAAAAGTAAACATCACTATTTATCAAGAAAATAGAAGTTAAACAAAATATGATATCACTACACAACCACTACAGTGTCTAAAATTTATAAAGACTAACTAATGGCAAGTGGTGGATGGTATCTGGAGCACCTGGAACTCTCATACATTGCTAACAGGAATGTAAAATGTCACAGCCATGTTCGAAAACAGTTTGGTGGCTTTTTATGAAGTGTAACAGTTAAGCAACAATCCCACTCCTGGGTATTTACCCAAAAGAAATGAAAATTTATGTCCACACAAAAACCTGTATACAATGTAGAAGATGACTGACAGTAGAATTAAAGTAAAGTCTAAAGTTTTGAACTAGCAGAGAGATGAATTATTAAATCTTACAATTTGTAAATAAAACTCTACTTTAGGAGGTAAATGTATACAGAATTTTTGATGTCAGAATAAACTTTATTTAAAACCTAAAAAAGAACCTGTATACAAATGTTCATAGTACCTTTATTTAAATAGCCCCAAACTGGAAACAAGCCAAATATTCATCAATTAGTGAACAGATAAACAATTTGTGGTACTCCATAAGGTGGAATACTATGCATCAATAAAAAGGAACAAACTAATGATACATGCAATAACAAAGATGAATCTCAAACACATTCCACCACATAAAAGAGCAGAGATAAAGATTTATATTGATTACATGTTATTCCATTTATGTCACGTTCCAGTATATTGCATTCCTGAAAAGGCAAAACTGTAGGACCAAAAACTGATCAGTGGCTACCAAGGACTGAAACTGGGGGAGTGGATTGGTTGCAAAAGGACAATGAAGGAACTTTTGGAGATGATGGAAATGTTTTATATCTTAGTTGTGGTGGTACTTACATGACTTCATATATTGGTCAAAGCTCATTAGACTTTACAGTTAAAAAATGTGAATTTCCGGGTCCAGCCCGGTGGCGCAAGCCGTTAGGTGCGCGCTCTCCGCTGCAGTGGTCCGGGGTTCACCGGTTCAGATCCCGGGAGCGCACCAACACACTGCTTGGCAAGCCATGCTGTGGCGGGGTCCCACATAAAATGGAGGAAGACGGGCACGGATGTTAGCCAAGGGCCATTCTTCCTCAGCAAAAAAAAAGAGGAGGATTGGCAGATGTTGTTAGCACAGGGCTGATCTCCTCACAAAAAAAAAAAAAAAAAAAAAAACGGGAAACTTTCTTTTCTATAACTTATACCTCAAGTTAAAAATAGAGTAATACATTAAGTCACAAAATGCATCTATGGTGAAAAGTAAGTCTCCCTCCCATCTAACAACACAAAGCCATTTAGACTTTCCAGAAACAATCATTCCCACCAACGAGTTATATGCCCTTCCAGAGAATATGTCCTTCTTCTCAGAAACATTACTCAGATCAGGCAGATAAACCTATATACATTTATGCCACTTATCACTCTCTTCTTTTTTTATCCAAATGACAAGAATCTCCTGCATCTTGATTTTTTTATTTAATAAAATGATTTGGATATAGTCCCATATCAACACATGTATATCTGCCTTATTCATGCTACATAGTATGAATGTGCCATCACACTACTGATGAACAATTAGATAATTCAAAATATTTTTATTACAAACAATGATACAAGGACAATTTTTTTGGACATTCCTTCATTAGCACTTATAATAGACACCAAGAATTTTCATTTTTGCGTTATAAATTACTATATTTTATGTTTTAATAGATATCCCCAAAATGTTCTCCAAAAAAAATGTACTTATTTATAATCCTGCCAGTGGCACTTGAACTACTAGTTTACACATATCCTCACCAACACAATGTTTTCTCAGCCTTTAACTTCATCAATCTGACAGGTGAAAACGTTGTCTCACAGTCTTAGCTTGTATTTTGCATATGTTGCCTAGTTTAATTCTTGCAACGTTCTATTGAGGTAGACAAGGCTGGTATTATCAACAGTTTACAAATGAGAAAACTGAGGCTCATAGGCTTAAGAAATTTACTCAAGATTATAGCTAAGAGTAGCAGAGCCAGAGTTCATACTGAGTTCCTCCTGATCCCACTGCCATGCATTTCTTTTTTTTTTTTAATTTTTTGTTTATTGCAGTAACATTGGTTTATAACATTGTATAAATTTCAGGTGTACATCATTATACTTCTATTTCTGCATAGATTACATCATGTTCACCACCCAACTACTAATTACAACACATCACCACACACATGTGCTGAATTATCCCTTTCACCCTCCTCCCTCCCCCCTTCCCCTGAATACCTACTGGAGTTTTCCATTTTTAGGACACATTTGGCAGAAGACAGTGTCTGATTCTTTTAGAAAAGCCAAAAGGGAATACCCCTCTGCACACATAACACTCCTTCCATCCTCTGCCCTAACCATGCAACTGTGATTCTGATCACGTGTTTTCCTGGGTGGGAAATAAGAACCTGAAAACCATAAAGAGATTTAACGAGGGCACGTGGAACATGATGGTCATTCTCCAACTCAGAGGAAGTCATTCTTCCCCAAAGTTACTTTATCAACTATTTCAAAATTATCTCTAGGAGGACCATTTTAGCCTCTTGCTACTTTTCTGCTCAGCCCATAAACTATGAGCATTTGTCTTCCTGGAGGTATAAATGTGCAATCCTTTATCTGAAACCCTGGAGACAATTGTTTTATCATATTCAGAATTGTTTGACATTTTAGAAAGATATTATGATGTAAATGCTGTAAAGTTTATGATACACTCAATGATGTGGCAAGTACCAGACAGTCAAACACATTGCTATTTCTTTAGCAAAACATAAATAGTCACACAAAGTGGCATAAATAAGGAATATAAATAGATTCACTTCAGTTCACGTAAGGTTTTGGCCGCTGAATGAAACTGCCCCAAGCCTGCCTTGGTTTTTAAATTTCCAGGTTTCTAGTATTCCCGAATTAAGGATGAGGGGTTTCTAAACCCATATTACAGAAAAAAACCTTAGATCAGCTCTGTCCGACACAGTAGCCTTGAGTAATCCATGGTTATTTATATCTAAATTAAAGCTAATTACAAGTAAATAAAATTTAAAATTCAGTTCCTCAGTTGCGTTATTCACATTTCAGGTACTCAATAGGCACATGTGGCTAACAGCTCCCATCTGAGACAAGACAGATATTCAGAATTCCCTCTTCCCCAGAAGATGGAAGTAGTAATTACAACATTAATAAACTCTCAACTCTTCCCCTCAAAGTAGAATTGCCGGTGGGAATCCAAAAGTTAGAGCGACTTTGGAAGACACTTTGGCATCTCTTACAATACTAAACATACTCTTACCACGTGATTCAGCAATCACATTCCTTGGTATTTACCTAAATAAGGTGAAAACTTATGTCCACACAAAAACCTGCACATGGGTGTTTATAGAGGCTGTATTCATTGCCAAAACTCGGAAGCAACCAAGATGTTCTTCACCAGGTGAATGAATAAAGAAACTGAGGCAATGAGATATTATTCAGCACTAAAAAGAAATGAGCTATCAAGTCATGAAAAGACATGGAGGAACCTTAAGTGCATATTACTAAGTGGAAGAAGCCAATCTGAATAAGGCTGCATACTGTATAATTCCAACTATACGACATTCTGAAAAAGACAAAACCACAAGGACAGTAACAAGATCAGTGGTTGCCAGGGGTTGGGGGAGGGAGGATGAATAGGCAGAGCACAGAGGATTTTCAGGGCAGTGAAACTACTCTGTATGCCACTACAATGATGGATACATGTCATCATACATTTCCCCACACCCATAGAATGTGCGACGCCAAGAGTGAAGCCTAATGTAAATGATGACCTTTGGATAATGATAATGTGTCAATGTAGGCTCGTCAATTGTAACAAATGTACCATTCTGGTAGAGGATGTTGACAATGGGGGAGCTCTGCGTGTGTGGAGGCAGGAGGCACACGGGAAATCTCTGTACTTTCGACTCAATATTGCTGTGAACCTAAAAGTGTTCTAAAAAGTAAAGTCTGTCAAAGAAAATCATACAAAAACAAGAGGAGAGGGAATACTTTCCTAATCTTATTTTTTTAAATATTTACAAAAAACATACAGAAATTATCATTCTCAGTGATGAGATATTAAGCCTCCACCCTTTCTTGGATCTCAGAAATGAAACAAGATGTTTACTGTCACCACTTCTATTCAAAACTATCCTGGAAATGCAGCCAGTGTGATAATGCGATAAAAAGAAAGTAAAGTCATGAGAATTGGAAAATAAAAAATAAAACAAATATTAAGCCAGATCGCAGAGCTGTGTACTCAAAAATCATAAATGAATCCCCAAACAAATTATTAGCAATGATAGGTGAATTTAGAAAGGTTGCTAGGCAGAAAATCATCAAAATAATAAAATCAATTATATTTCCATATAACACAAAAAGTGGAAAAAGGCATTTTAAAAATTATACAACATAAACTAACATCAAAAATATCATTGATCTAGGAAAAACCCAATAGATGCGCAAGCTACTGTACTGAAAACAAAACAGCATTGAAAAATTAAAGAAAGCCCAAATAAATTCAGAGAATATATGACATTCATGAATTGAAAGATTCAAGGTGTCAATTATTTCCAAAATTAATTTAATATCACCCTGATAAATCATAGCCGGGTGTTTTGGGTAATTGACAAACTGATAGTACAATTTATTTGGAAATGTAAACAGCTAAAGAGTAGCCAAAACAATACTAAGAAACAGAACAAATTTGGAAGACTTACATAGCCAGATAGCAAGACTTGTCCTAAAGATTTATACCAAACTGGAAACAACACAAAATCCATCAAGCTGCCACACATCTGACTTTTGCTCTTCTTTCATCTTGCATTACCAGAGGATCGAAACCATACTGTGAATATGGGAACTTCAAGAGCACTGAGGTCAGTGTAGGAGAAGCAAATCTTACCTTGGGGATGAGGTAGTTTCTGAATTTAACGTCACAGGTCACTGCATGAGGCAGGTTGTTGGGGATGAGGTCAAGGTATCTCTGGACCTCATGTATCACGGCATCCATGTAGGGCATGTGGCTCCTGTCCTGCATGCAGGGGCTCCGGTGTCTGCCAATCACACGGTCAATCTCTTCCTGGACTTTAGCTGGTAAGACACAAGTAAGACTGATGGAAAAAGAGAAAAATGCACAGCACATTTGCATTCCAATTCAGGGTTACATGAAGCACTATGAAGGTGTTCTAACATCATTATAAACATAAATTATATGCTCAGAAGTACACCTAGACATAGAGAGAGAGTGCCAGAATATAGATACATACAACTCTCATACAAGCTGGGCTTTGAGATACATTTGTGCACACTTATATATTAGCGTACAGGATAATTAATACAAGTAGAAACGATGAAATGCTTCAAAATATAAATAGTACATTACCAACTTAAGAAATTATTGTCCTTGCAGAAAGAAAAACAGGAATAAAGTATTAATTTCATATAAATATAATATATGATGTTTTAAAAATAAAATTCTACTAACTGATGAATATGTATGCATGGTTTGTATGACTACATGTGTGTTGTGTGTGTGTATTTGTTGCAACTCGCAATGATATCTTCTCTCATCTTCACACGCCCCAAATGTGGCCACTTTGAAACATTCTAGCCGTTTCCTCTGAAATTTGTGTTTCATATTTCTATACTGACTATTTCTTGATTCATCCATTTTTCGACAACGTCTAATGACTTTCTGGTGAGAGATGTGAGAGCTTACATCTCAACCAGCACCCCATACGAAACACACAGACCTACAAACAGATGCGCACACACACTTCCCTCACTCCATCTCCCCCATGTATTTATATCACGATTGTTTAATATATCAATATTCATTGTCTATAACATGAAGATTATAATAAATATTGTACAGGTAAGAAAACTATGATTATGTTTGATCTTTTGTACATTCTTGGGCTTGTAAGTGCCTATTTCAACTCCTAGATTTTAGATGCCAGTTTTGAGTTGTTACAAATGTTCAGGTAGACGTTTCAAACTCCTAGTAATAATTTTCTCATTACCAGAAAACCTCAAATAATCCATCATTTCTCTTTTGTTCTTGGTGTCTCCTCTTATATCTGCTTTATCCACCTGGTCCATTTTGAAATACATGTTTCCTAAGCCTGGTGCCTAGCACCCTTCCTGAAACTTCCATTCTCCTTCATGAGATCTCCTGATTCCTGGAGTCCAGGGCTTCCTCTGATGTGATTTCAGATATTTGGATGGAGCATATCCTTCAGTATTATTCCAAGAGAATAACAACAAAAGGTACTTTTTTGCCAACTTGTATCTCTGAAAATATCCTTTAACTATTAATACTTAAGATGATGGTTGCTCTTGAGAATTCTAAGGCCGTACATGACCTGATTTATATCTGCAAGTTTTTATGAATTTCTCTTTAATCCTGGTGTTCTGAAGTTCCGTGACCCTCTGTCTTGGGGCAGATATTACTTCATTCACTTTGCTGTGCATTTTGTGAGAATTTTCTATCTAGATGGTAGAAGACAGAGGTCTTTTCTCTGGAGCTGTTCATTCTCTGGGGTGTATATCTGGCTGCTGAATTTTAGGAACAGGATGGAGAAAGGCGCTAAGGGTCTCAGAATTCAAATGGACTCTTACTTAGTCTTTTTTTTTTTTCAGCCCTACACCTCACACTTTCCCTGTCGCTGCCCAGTGTCCCTGAGTGCAGGGCCTCTTTGGTTCCATTTCTCTAGAGAGTTAACCTCCCTTTGCTGTGGAGGAAAAACAGTTACCTGCTGTTACTTCTCCACAAGAGAAGTTGTGGAGGGAACCGGGGCAGGGAGAGCCTGCTGTTTTCTGCTCCATTCTCCCTATACCTTCTTTGACAATTGCTTCTTCCAATACCGAACGTTATGTGCCTGTAGGGGTACAAATTTGGTTGTTTACCCGTGATAAATCTGCTGTTTTTGAAATTTAGGTAACAACTTCAATCTCTCTACTAAGTTGGTTATCAGCCCTCCATTGGCTCTCGATGTTTCAGAAATTTGTTAAAGACTTCATGATTGTTTGTTGTGCTCCTCTTTTCCAACGTAAACAGGAGTAACTCTTATTTGTAATTAATCATCATTTCAATGGGATTCTGACCCAGAAAAACGTGATGTGTGAGCTAATCTGCTTGCAGAACCATACTCTATTTAAAGATAATTTTTTTAAATTATTTAAAAAACTTTTTCATAGGGGCCGGCAAGGTTGCATAACAGTTAAGTTCACCCACTCCACTTCAGCATCCCGGGGTTCACAGGTTCGGATCCCCTGAGTATGACTCATTAATTGCTGTGGCAGCATCCCATATAAAGTAGAGGAACATGGGCACGGATGTTAGCTTATGGCCCATCTTCCTCAGCAAGAAAAGAAGAGGATTGGTAATGGATGTTAGCTCAGGGTATATCTTCCTCACACAAAAAAAAAAAAAAGTTGTTCATAAAAGATAGAACTATTGACTTGGAAAGAAATTTTTATGGCAAACACCATTTTTCTGGACTCATACTTCTGAAATAATAAAACTCCTTTAGAAGAGTGACATCAGCATAAGAAAAGAAAATTATAGGCCAATATCCCTGACGAACATAGATGCAACAATTCTCAACAAAATATTAGCAAACTGAATTCAACAGTACATTAAAAGGATCATACACTATGATCAAGTCAGATTTACCCCTGAGATGCAGGAGTGGTTCAACATACATAAAACAATAAATATGATATGCCACATTAACAAAATGAAGGATAAAAATCATCTTAATAGATGCAGGAAAAGCATTTGACACAATTCAACATCTTTTCACGATACATACTCTCAACAAATTATGTACAGAAGGAATGTACCTCAAAACAACAAAGGTCATATATAACAAGCCCAAAGCTAACATCATACTCAACAGTGAAAAGCTGAAAGCTTTTCCTCTAGATCGGGAAGAACACAAAGATGCCTACTCTCACCACTTCTTTTCAGTATAGTGCTGGAAGTCCTAGCCAGAGCAATTAGACAAGGAAAATAAATAAAAAGCATCCATATCAGAAAGGAAGAAGTTAAATTGTCTCTATTTGCAGATGACATGATCTTATATACAGAAAGACCTAAGGACTCTACCAAAAACTGTTAGAACGAATAAAAAAATTCAGTAAAGAGGCGGAGTCAAGATGGCGGCGTAGGCAGACTCTGAACTCACCTCCTCCTGTGGACACAGCCAATTTACAACTACTCGTGGAAAAATTACCCCTGAGACAGAACTGAAAACTGGATGAGAGGAACTCCTGCAACAACGGACAATCCTAAC